TGCTGCAGCCCTCGGGCCAAGAAAAGGGGTGGGGGGGGGTGGAAGAAAGGTGCTCCTTCCGGGGCCTCACGGGCTCCTCTTGGGCCCCAAAGGCCCCTCTTGGAACCCAAACACCCTGTCATCTCTTGGGGGCACATCTTTTACCTCCGCCGCCTTCCCCCGAGCGTCCGCCGGCTTCCGCCAGCGGAGGCGGGCTGGTTTTGCTTCCGCCGCCTTCCGCCGAGGAAGAGATGACAACTCCTTCGATCCTCGAAGGCAAGGCCCTTTCTGGAACGCCTCAAAAATGGGGGGGGGGAGAGAAAGGTGCTCTCTTCGGGGCCCCAAGGCCCCCTCTTGGGCTCCAAAGGTTCCCTTTCTGGGGGTCTTGGAGTTAGGTGGGACATGTCCTCCTACAGGCGGATTTTGGACGAACGAAGATCGGATAAACAGCAAACGTAGCTAAAAGAACACGACACATCGACACCAAGCTTTTCTAACACTATTCTGGAATATTCCTCCTGTAGAGGACCATGCCCGGCTTAATCCTCAAGGGCCCCTCCCTGCAACCCTTGCTGCCCCCCCCATTCGTCGCCCCCGCCCGGTGCGCGTCCTCCGCGGTGCACGCGCAGGTGCCGCCGCCGCCCCGCCGACCCCGACGTCGAGGAGGAGGGAGGAGGAAGGAGGAAGGAGGAAGGAGGGAGGAGGGAGGAGGGAGGAGGGAGGAGGGAGGAGGAGGGAGGATGGAGGAGAGGGGGAGAGGAGAGGAGGAGGAGGAGAGAGGATGAGGAGGGGAGAGGGGGAGGAGGAGGAGAGGAGGAGGAGAGAGGAGTAAGGGGAGGAGGAGAGAGGAAAGGGGAGGGAGGAGGAGGGGAGGAGAGAAAGAGCGAGGAAGGAGAAAAGCGGGAGAGAAGAGCGAGAGGGAGGAGAGGAGGAGGAGGAGGAGGAGGAGGAGGAGGAGAAAGAGCGAGGAGGGATGAGGAGGAGGAGGAGGAGCAGGAGGAAGAAGAGGTGGAAGGCAGCGTGTCGGAGGTGGGGCGCGCCCATCGCCCAGCGCGAGCTCTGCTGAGCTTTCGGAGGTCCGCGCAAGCTGTGCGGAAGGCGAGGGGGGGGGGGCCTTGTAGTAGACGATGTTCTCCAAGTCCACCCCGAGTTTCGCCTGCGGGCCCCGAAGGCTCGTCCCTCCACCCGCGGCGGGGGGGCACGGGAAGCGAGGCGACGAGGCGGAGCAGGCGGTGACAGAGACACACACATATATATATATATGTGTCTATATGTATAGAGAGATACATAGAGAGAGAGGGATAGAGAGAGAGGGAGAGCGGGATACAGAGAGAGAGAGAGAGAGAGATAAGGAAAGAGAAAGAGAGAGAGAGAGAGAGTACGAGAGAACACCATCTATATAAATGTACTTATACATAAAAAGGGACAGAAAGACAGACAGGCAGACAGACAGGCAGACAGACAGGCAGACAGACAGGCAGACAGACAGACCGACCGACAGGCAGACATACCTACCAAACATACTTAATGTTTGTAGACATGATACGCCTGTTTAAGAACGAAGAGATACTGCACATGAAGGGAAGGGGAGACAGAGGGAGAGAGAGAGAGAGAGACAGGGAGAGAAAAGAGAGGGAGCGATAGAGAGAGAGAGAGAGAGAAGGAGACAACGAGAGAGACAGAGAGAGAGAGAGAGAAAAAGAGAGAGAAAAAACAACAAAACGCCGACGGAAAGAAAACCAATCACGGCGATCCTCCTCCTCCTCCTCCTCCTCCTCCTCCGCCTCCTCCTCCTCCTCCTCCTCCCTGGTCTAGCTTACTCCGGAATGATTTCGGGGTGTCGGGATGGCGGGGGGGGCGATTTCGAGGCGGAGCCTGGAGGGATGGGGGGCGGATGTGGATGCGACGGAGGGGGAGTGACAGGAAAAGGGGGTCGGCGGGAGGGGAATGCAGTGCCAGGGGTGCGGGCAGGGGGGCGCGGGGCGGGGGGGGGGGCGGGGGGGAAGGTGGGGGCAGAGGGGCGGGAGGGGAGAGCGGTGCCAGAGACGCACAGGGAATGGGGGGGAGCCATGGGCAGAGGCGAGCATGGTGCGCTCGCGCCACGTCTGACATCCGTCCCTCCTTCCCGTCCCTTCCCTATCGCGCTGGGGTGTCGCTGTCTGCGGGCGCGTGTCATCGCCGACCTATAACT